CGGGGGCGAGTTGGAGGGGGCGCCGGGGGTGGTTGGAGGGGGGGCGTTTTGCGAGGAGGGCGACTGTGTTGCTAGGCGGGGGCGATGGGATGGCTGGCGGACGGTGTCCAACACCTTTGACTGTAATGGACGTCACTGCAGCGACACGCCCCTAAAAACATGCACATGTACACACACACACACACACACACACACACACACACACACACGAACACACATGTGTGTGCGTGCGTGTGTACACATGCACACAGACATAGTGCGAGCCCCCCCACCTTGTCGCGCTGCCACTTTGGCAGGTGCGCCACCTTGTCCTGCAGCTGCATCAGGGGGGTGCCCTCCATGAACGTCATCGCCATCACGCGCTGAGTCACCAGGCCCGGCACGCTGCGTGGGACGGCCACGCGTGACGTGATGGGGGCCAGGTGGGTCGCGATCGCGTCCATGACACGCGCCTCCCTGGGGAGGGGGAGGGTGGGGGGGGGGGGAGATGATTGGCACGGTGAGTGGGACGCAAAAGGAGGGTCGAAAAGGTGCAGTCCAGATGGTCAAGGGCGGGTTGATTGGCACGGGTGTGACTCAACAGGAGTGCTGCTCGCTTTGCACAGCATTCTGCGCAGCTTCAATCCCCCCCATGACCCAGGCATCAGCCTGCCGTGGACGCCCCGCTGCCCCCTCGCACCCTCTCCAGGCCCGGCCCTGAGACACAGCTTGCACCGACGTCCCGGGGCCCCAGATCGCCGCCCTGCCAACCCCGCTCGCCTCATGAAGTCAAACTCGAGGTGGATCTGCTTCTGCAGCTCGTCCACCGCCGACACTAGGTCAAACTTGAGCTCTGTCTTTGACAGGAAGGCGCTGATGGCCCTCAGGTTGATGAGGTCCTCAGTCATCACCTTTGGTTTGGGAAGGGATTCAGTGTTGGGGGTGGTGGTTGGGGGATGATGATGTTTTTGGGGTTCGGAGGGGACGAGGTGGTTGGTTGTGGGTGGGGGGGGGAAAGGGCTTTTGGTGAGAGGCGAGTCATGAGGGGGTAGTGAGGGCGTGCCATAGGGGTGACCCGGGCAGAGCCCAAGCGTTGGGTGGAGGAAGCACGCAGGGCGGGCGTTGAACTGCGAAATGCCAAGCGGAGAGCACACCTGGGACCAGGGGCGCACGGGAGGCCGCATGCACGAGGCCACGATGCTTGCACGCCTGCGTGCGCAGGTGCAGCTGTCTTGGTCCGCGACCCGGGGCCGCAGCCCCTCAACTTCCATGCAACCCGCACACCCCCACGGCTGCTACCGGGGCCCCCCCTCACCTGCAGTGCGTCAGGGTACTGCACCTTGACGGCCACCAGCCCGCTGCGCGGCACGCTGCCGACCGCCACCGCGTGCGCCACCGCCGCCGCCGCGCCGCTCGCGATCGGCCGCTCCTCCCGCTCCGGCGCGAGCCGCGCGCCCGGCACGGCGCGCCGCAGGCCGTCCAGCAGGCGCCCCAGGCCGCCGAGCGGGCCGACAGCGCCGCCTGTGATGCCGCCCAGCAGCGTATCATCCGCGACGCTCGCGCCGCGCCGGCGGTCGCCGTCGCTGCTGCTGCCCCACCCGCTGCTGGTGCCCCCGATCCACCCGATCCCCTCGCTCTCGCTGCTGCTGCTGCTGCTGCCGCCCCAGCCGCCCGCGCCCCCCGCGCCGTCGTCCTCCACCTCTTCGCTGCCAAGCAGGCGGCCCGCCAGGTGGCTGTCCTGGAACTCCTGCAGCGCCAGCACCTCGGGCACGCGCACCACGTCGCCGGCGCCCAGTGCCTCCAGGTCCACCCCGCGGTTGGCGGCCGCCAGCTCAGCGAGGGACACGCCGGCGTCGTTGCAGACGGACCAGGCGGTGTCCCCGGGCAGCAGCGCGACGCGGCGGGCGCGGCCGCGGCGCTGGCGGGAGAACTGGCGGAGCTGTGCGGGGGAGAAGCGGCGCAGCTCCGCCTTGTGGACCTGCGGGGGGGGGGGGTTGAGGTGAGGAAGGGGGGCAGGGGCGTCGTGGAGCGGGGTTGCGGGCGCAGAGTGCTGTGTTCAGCCGGCATGGTGGGTGTGGGCGGCGCGGGTGCAGGTGCGGGTGTGCGTGGAGCCGGGCCCGTTGTGCCACGCTTGCAGCCGCGAAGCGAGGTGAGTCGGCAGAGGTGCACTGTGCTTGGAATCTTTCTGCCAGTCACACCATAGAGTAGCAGCTTCGGCCGGCACGCTCACCCACACACGTATGCACACATGCACTCGAAAGCAGGCACTCAAACAAACACAAACAAGCACGCACGCACACACACACATACAAACACACACACACATATGTCAACTCACCCACAGACACTATCTCACTCCGACATGAACACATACAAGACAAGACACACGTGTGCAGGCGCGCAGACGCACGCATGAATATGCACGCACGCACGTGCGCGTGCAGCCCGCCCCCTCCCCCGACCTGGCTGATGGAGGCCGACCCAAGGGGAGACTCCAGGTCGATCCACTCAAACAGCTCCCCCAGATCATCAACACCCAGCTCGCGCTTCAGCACCTCGGCGGTGCGGTCAGCCGTCATCGGCGGCACCTGGTGGTGGCGGAGGGGGGTTGTGATCGGCAGGGGGAAGGTCAGGAGCCGGGTTGCTGCTAGGGGATTGCGCATGTTTCGCCGCCGCCCTGCGGCAGCACGGCCCCTGCTCTGCCAAGCTTCAGGAAGACGGCCGGCTGCGTCTGCAGGCGCCACACAACGTCCGTGACACGGCGTACATGCCCGGTCAGCACGGGTCCGAAGGATCTCACCCTGTCTTGGAGGACACACATTTGGCGGCAGATCTGCTCCGGGACAAAGTCAGCACGCGCGCCAATAAATTGGCCGGCCTGACGACACGGTATGCGCGTGGACGATTTAGCAGCTAGTCTCAGGAGGGAGGGGGAGCCTAGCAGGATCGAGCACACGCCGCTGGTGAGGGGCGGGCAGCTGCCACACCTGCAGGAGGGTTGTCCGGCTGGAGCGAGAGCGAGACAAAGACGCAGCTGCTTTTCCTCGGCTTCCTCTCACCTTCAAATAGAACCCCCTGAGGTCAATGCAGAGCTTGTACATCTGTCTCCCCGCCCACTCGTGCTGCGAGTCCCAGAGCCGCTCTTTGATCTCCTGCCTGCTGCGGCCCCGCGCCCGCATCAGCATGGCGCGAAACTGCGTGGCCTTGTAGCTTCCGTAGATCATGCTGGCGCGCCCCCAGAATTCTGCTGACCGCAGGAAAGAATGGATGGGGTCCAGCCCGCCCTCCTGGCCCGGCGCAGGGGACGGGCTGCTGCGCTGCTTCTGCTGCTGCTGCTGCTCCTGCTGCTGTCGCTCCTGCCGCTGCTCCTGCTCATGCTGCTGTTTTCGCGAACCGGAGGGTGCTGCCTGCAGAGTGGGTCGGGGGACGTGCAAGGAGTGGATGGAGCACGGTGAGAAATGCAGGTGTATCGGGCATGTGGGGGTTTCCTTCATACGGTAGGAACACGACACACAGGCTGCCATGGTAAACACCCGCCGTGCCGCAGCAATTGCGCTGAGGCGCCGGGTTCCGTCAATGGCTTGCAGCATAGCGCTCCTGCCAGCTCTTCAATGAGATGACGCAAGACCCTCCTCACCGTTTGCAGGAGTTCAGGCTGCCTGGTGGCTACCATTGCTCCGGATTGAATGCTGCCGGTGGGACGACGAGCGCTGGCCGCTGGCCGGGGGAGGATCGTCGCAGTGCCAAGTCTCGGCCCGCGGTCTGGAGCACGGATGGGCAGCACTCCTAGTGAGCTGTTATAAGGGGCTTGCATGTTACGGTGAGCGACATGTTCCAGTCTCAGGCGTCTCTAGATCGCGAGGTGTTGATGGTGATGGAGGGGCTGTGACAAGTCCAGCCTGCTCGCACCAATTACCAATGCAGCGAGCACACCTCAAGTATCATATGGCTTCTTTGCAGCAAGAGCTCATGCATCAGCTACCTTGAACCGTCGCGGGCGTCGTTCCAAGTGACGTCCCCAGGTGTGCCAGTGCTCCATGCACACACGCAACGGCTGCTGGTGCTCGCTGCCGCGGGGGCCGCGCAGTCTCGACCACAGTTGCAGGACGGCAGACCCCATAGTCGTTGCACGTACCGATGGCATCCATAACTGTGCAGTCATTCAGTCCATGCAATGCTGCCTTCCCAGCACAATCCCCGCACGAGACCTGTGCCACCGCCTGATGGCCCCCGTCCAACATCAACCCCAGGTCACCAGCTCTAGAATCTGCAGGTCCCGATCGCGGTAGGTTGAATCCTGCAGTCAACGGCTCTGTCCAGCGTCCGCAAGGCGCTCCTGCGACGATGTTCAGGCATGACAGATGACACGCCGTTTGCACAGTCAGCGTTGCTGAGCAAGGCCGCCACAGACTCAGCGCTTGGCCAGGTGGTACAATCACCCAGCAGATTAACGCGCCTTACCACTATTGTGCTAATGAGCGAGCCAATACGTGGCGTTGGCATCAAAGTTTAGGTCAGCTGGGCATATCAGGTCGTATGCGAGGGTGGATCAGCTCACAGCCGGGAGGGGTGAGCAGTATGCCGCATCCAAGGCCGTACACGTCACCGATTTTGTTGGCCATAGTACATCCTGGGATTTGTACGGGCGTTTGGGGGTGTCACACCCTCAAAAAGGCAACATGGTGAAGCACCACTCCACTTCACGCAGCATCAGCAGCACGAGCAGCCCCAGCCGCGGCAGGGGTCAGGTGCCTCGTCGGCTTCGACTCCCGACGTCATTCACAAGGACAATAAAGTATTAGTGTACAAAAATATAGCGTATGCTGCAATATTGGTCGTAGACACTCATCGCGTGTGATCCAAGTCTGAGGAACCGCTCGGGTACTCACTTTTGACCTCGAGCTCAGCGCGAAAAGCTTTCACGACCGCACGCACTCAAAACTTCGATAAGCATTTAACTTCAACTCACAGCGTCGCATCGGGATCACAGAGGGATCCGCAGCGGGTGCAGCCGTTGCGCAGCAGCAAGGCGGCTGCAGCAGTGGCGTCGGCAGCGCAGCATGGCGCCCTCAAAGTCTCAAACCAAGGGCGCGCTGTCGGCCCTGTCAGCTCTGGACGCGTTTCCCAAAGTCAATGAAGACTTTTACCACAAGACTGCTTCTGGTGGCGTCATCACCGTGGTTGCGTATGCTTTCATGCTCCTGCTCTTCCTAACAGAAACACGTGAGCGGATAGTCTGGTGCCGTCAGACCAGCAAGGGCTAGGGCACGATACGCACATTGCTTGAGTGCCAGCCAACGGCTGAGGAGTGCTGCTGTGCAGATTGCCAGCCGCTGGGGCCCAGGGAGCTCACCCATATGTCCGCCGCCGCTGCCACGCTCCTCAGGGCTGTATCTGGCCGTCCAGCGGACCCACGAGCTGCAGGTTGACTCCACCATTGGTGCCACCATCAGCATCGATGTGAGTGCATCTGCTGCGCTGTGGGTGGCTGGCCCAGCGGAGGGCCGACAGGGCCGCATCAGTCAGCAGCTGCAGAATCACTGGCGGACCAGCAAGCTCCACTCTTGTTGATCGTAGCGCTACTGCCCCTGCAATATGTCAAGCAGTATGCATGGCCGCTGCTTGGTCAGGCTGCAACTATCCCAGCTGCTGCCCGGCCCGCTGCCACGCTCACCCACGTATGGCTCCTCTGTCGCGATATTACAGGTGGACGTCACGTTCCCACGCATGCCCTGCGCATGGCTCAGCCTGGACGCAATGGACGTGTCAGGAGAGCTGCATTTAGACGTGGTGAGCGACAGGTGGTTTTCAAGGCGTCCGGGCTGGCTGCAGTGCAGTCATGGTGGCGGGGCCCGCGGCCGCAGCACGTGGGGAACAGCTGCGCGGATGTCACCTTGCAGGACGAGCGGCTATCAACCACCACGGAAATAAACAACCACATCCAAATGCTGGTGTTGCTGTTGCACATAGAGTGCACATTCTGTCTCTGCAGCCAAGCCTGCGCATGATCTACCAATCTGCACTTCACAGGAGCATGACGTTTACAAGCAGCGGCTGTCGCAGGGCGGCACCCCAGTCTCTGAGGCCGAGCGCCACCTGCTGTCTGCCTCTGCTGCGCTCAACGGGGCAAACAGCAGCGGCTCGGGCGACAACGGGACTGCGGCGGCGTGCGGCAATTGCTACGGCGCTGAGGACGAGGCACACCCCTGCTGCAGCACGTGCGACGATGTGAGTGGGAAACGGGCCTGAAGGTGGAAGAGACTAGCCACTTTCAACCCCACGGCGCTTCACTGCTCAGAAGCGCCTACGTGCCTGCAGCATGTGGATGCGCCTCGGTCGAGCTCTATGTGCGTGTGAATCTCCCCGCAGAAGCTCCCTGTCACATCAGCATCTGATTCCAGGAGCGGCCTTGAATGTTCCACCCCCTGTCCGCACTCTCTTGCACCAGGTGCGTGATGCATACCAGCGCAAGGGCTGGATGATGCTGAAGCTCACGGACGTCACCCAGTGCGCAGACACCCAGTACTTCGATTCTATTAAGACCCAGGAGGGCGAGGGCTGCCGCATGTGGGGGCGCCTTCACGTGAACAAGGTGGCGGGCAACTTCCACTTTGCCGCTGGCCGCAGCTACCAGCAGGGCAGCGTTCACGTCCACGACATCTCGCCTTTCAACGGGAAGACCCTAGATTTCACCCACGACATCAAGAAGCTCAGCTTTGGGCCGCAGTACCCGGGAATGAAGAACCCACTGGAGGGCGTCTCATCAGCAGCGCCTGGCGGCCTCGGGGAGGCGGCGCTGGCCGCCGCGGCGAACAAAAAAGGACGAGCGGCTGCAGCGGGGGAGGGCAAGGAGAAGGAGACCCAGACAAAGGGCAGCAAAGTGGCTGTGGCAGCACCACCAGGAATGTACCAGTACTTTTTGAAGGTAGGCGCATGAGCCCGAGGGCTCAAGGCGGTTTGGTCTGTAGCTGGCCTGAATTTGGCATGCAAACGTACCGCACATCCTGGCGAGTGCGTGTCGAATTGAAAGCAGTGCTGTCTGATGCTCATCGTTTTGTACTTAAAATCACTGCAGAATGGTGGTGGATCCACCATGATGTTGCATCACCTTCTACTGCCTCCTCCAGGTTGTCCCCACTGTTTACGTCGATCCCTCGAACAAGACCCTTGTTTCAAACCAGTACAGCGTGACAGGTGAGATGGAGCCCACATATGGTCTTGTCATGCTGTCTGCATGGATGGACCCCATGTCTGCGCACCACTGCTTGTGTCCTGCAGAGCTCTCACCCAGCTCGCTTCAAAGGAATCTTCACCCGGGCTTCGCGCATGTGACGGCCCACCAAGCATGTGCAAGACCTTCAACCCAACCCAATAATGCACCCTCAGAGCACTTCCGGGAGAGCACGCCGACGCCGGCCAATGCTGTTGCGCCGACCGGCAACAACGCCCGCACCCTGCCGGGAGTATTTTTCTTCTACGACCTGTCCCCCATCAAGGTGCTGCGTCTGGGATCAGCGAGTGTGCATATGTTGCGTGTGTGTCGGACGTTTTCAGCAGCGCTCGGCACGGCGCCAGCCTCTGTCTTGTGAAAGACTGGCAGGTGACTCTACCCTAGTGCAGCTCTCACCCCAGCCCCAGCAATCGTGCGCCCAGCCCTCGCGCCCCCCTCACGCTCCAACCACGCCTCAGGTCCACATTGCCGAGTCGAGGTCGTCGTTCCTGCATTACCTCACAAACCTTTGCGCCATCGTGGGCGGCATCTTTGCGGTGAGAGAGTCACCCTCCAGCTGCCGATCCAAGCGGCGATGAGCACCGTTCGTGGCCGCCGCCCCGTGCTTGTCTCAAGCTGCGCCTCAAGGCACGCCACTGGGCCTGCTGTTTGCCGAGGCAGGCTCCCCTGCTGCACTGAAGGATTTTAATCCTCCAGTGCCGCCTTGCCGGCGTTCTACCATCAGCGACATCCTTCACAACTGCTGCTTGACCCCTGCTATCACTTCATTACATCATTAGGTGTCCGGCCTGCTGGACGGCGCGGTGCATCAGGGGGAACGCATCATCCGAACCAAGATGCAGATGGGCAAGGTGGGCAGAGGGCCGGGGGCCAAAAGGAGGTGTGCGCGTGCTTTCTTTTGTGCTGGCCCTGCAGCTTGTGCTGATCACTCCGCTGCAATGGAGCAGCAATGCACGCACATCCGCCGACAACAAAGCCGCCCTCTCCCCTTGCCGCAGTTCTCTTGATAAGGCACGCCCTACCGGCCAAGCTGCCTCACCCTTTGGGTTAATATTGTGCGAATGCAACATGCAGCGCACGGCACAAGCTGTTGTGTGGTGTTGAGCGCTGATGAAGCTTATGCCGCTTTAATCACTGCCCCCATTTAGTATCATTGTTCAGTGCCCAGTCAGCTGCCTCTGCGCTGCTCTTGCACTTCCGTTGCAAAAATCACACAAACGTCTTACGGCTGACAAGCAATCAAGGCAGAATTGTGGCTGTTGCAGGGGCGTGTGTAATCAATGTCACCAATTGCCTCCATCACAGTCTTGGATTTCATCATAACTTCTGAAATCAAGAACGTGGGCGGCTCGCTTTGCGAGTTCAGCCATGCTCTGCATGTTGTCCTCACACTCAACATACCACAGAGCTGTCGAGCAAGGTTGACCACCGACATGATTTGCGCAAACTTCGCAAGGAGATGATGGATGAACAGCTAACCAGGTGGCACTGGCCACTACTAGCAAGCATTTCTGAGTTGTCAAAAACAGAGAGGCCGCTGCTTTGCAAGCCGTTGCAACGGTAGCACACGGTGCAACTTCAACAAACGAGCCCCGCAACACTTTCCTCGTGGACAAGATTTGTCACCAGGTATTGCACCAGAGAAAAACATAGATCTACAACTCAATCGCGCCCGAGTGCAGACCGCTGTGGTTGTTTGATGTGATGTGCCAACGATCAAAGGTGGGTTGGTGCTTGTATGGGAGGATGGTTGTTGGGTTACGGCGGCAGCAGGGTTTCGGCTGCACTTATTAGAAGAGTGCCGCTGCTGGGCACAGTGTGCAGGGGCGCCCGCCCTGTATGGGGACTGCAGCTCCCCCAAGCTGGAGAGCTGCTTGCCTTGGACGGACGGGGCAGCTGCGAGAGGCTGGTCTGGCAGGTAGTATGCGAGGCAGCGCACATGCAAGCTGGCAGATGGCTCGACAGTGCTATTCGTTGAACTTCAATACGCCCGCCACGTGCACATCGCCGTCACACGGTCAGCAGCAGCGAGTGACACACGGGACAGCGAAATGACAGGGGCCTTTTCATGGTTTGGGTGATTCCGACCACGCGCAGACATTGTTGTCGTTTGAGGGAATGAGTATATAGTGCCAGTTTACCGGTCTTACAGCCGTGTGTGCCAGCAGCCCTTCTTGCGATCTCCGGACACGTCTGAACTTCTCGACCAGGCCCGTGGGAGGCTGCGATCGTACATCAATGTCATCACTGGTTCAGCCTGCTGGAGCCGCCTGTGTGGGGCTGACCGGGGCCACTGACAGCATGCGGGCCGGTGGCTTGCTCGAGCTGCACTACCTGACCAAGCGCTTGAGACAGGCACTCATGGTGGGCGCAGGGTTATAGTCGCGTCTGCATTGCTGCCCGTCACCCGCTGGTTTCGGTCCATCGTGGCTTTGGCGGATGACCGTGGGTGGCCACTTCCGAGCGACCCCAGCCCGTCATATGAGACGCTCTTGATATATCTTGATCTAAAATGCAGTCGTTCTCGCTGTCGCAGCCTGCACAGCCTTCCAAGCAGCAGCCGGTGGCGCCACGCAGCGACTGCCAGCAACCGTCGTCCCAGTCCAAGCGCCACCAGGACGGCGCAGTGCGAGCGGCACCTTGCGTCGACGACCTTTGGAATGGCACTGGATACGACCCTGCTTATCTGGAGCACTGCTATGAGGATGAAGTGAGCGACATCAATTGGTTGGCAGGCAATGTCGGAGCTAGGCGGTTGGCAGCCATACAGCATTGCTGATGCTGTGCGCCAGCGGTGTGCCCGGTCCCGCCCCCTGCCTTAAGTCCCCCCCCTGCTCCACTTGCTGTGTTGCTTGCGGCATGACGTTTCGAATTGTTGGCTGGATGGTGCTGCCACCAGGCCCATTTGACCCATTGGCACTGCGCTTGCAGTCCTGGCAGGCAGCTGCACCCTCGGCGCCCACGAGGCGTCCACGCCGTGCCCGAGCCCGCTGCTTCCGTTACTGCACTTGCCCCCACCACCTCAATCTCTCAACTCCTCCCGACACCATCCGCAGCCCAAAGGCGCCGCGGACTGGCGCTACCTCGATCTGGTGCAGCCCGACCTCGACGCACACGCACGCCTCATCCTCGTCGATTGGCTCGTCGACGTCTGCGAAGAATTCAACCTCGGCCAGGGCACCCTGTTCCTGACCGTCAACCTCGTGGATCGCTACCTGTCGCGCGCCGCAACCTTCAGGCAGGAGCTGCAGCTGCTCGGCGTCGCCGCGCTGTGGCTGGCGTCCAAATTTGCCGAGGCCTACCCACCTGTGCTGGCCGACTTTCTGGACACGGCGCGGCACGCGTACTCTGCGCCGCAGGTCGTGGCGATGGAGCGCCTGCTGCTAGGCGAGCTGGGTTTCACGCTCATGGTGCCGACCGCGCACACGTTCCTGGGCCTGTTCATGCCGGCCGCCGCGGCCAACGCCGCAGACGCCGACGCGTTCTGCTCAGCGGCGATCGACGGCGGCGGCGGCAGCACAGCCTGGGACAGTGATATCAGTGGCAATAAGTACAGCTCAGGCAGCAGCAATTTCGCAGTGTCTCCAGTCTTTGACAGCAGCAGCAGCGGCAGCAGCAGCTGCAATGGGAGCGGCAGCAGCACCGGGAGCGGCAGCAGCGGTGCAAGCAGCGCTCGCTTCCACGCAAGTGATGAGTACCTGCCGGCCGCTGACGCGCCAACCGGCCCGCGTGCGGCGCCGCGCTACCCCTACGCAACCGGCAGCCCCTGCCCTGTGCCTGCAGGCCGCAGCTTGCACGCCGCTCCTGCGCCGGCCGTGGCGGCGGCTGCGCTGGGCGAGTACCCGCGGCGCGTGGCCCACCTAGCCGAGTACCTGGCCGAACTCTCGCTGCTGACGCCAGAGTGCATCCAGTTCCCGCCTTCCCTTGTCGCAGCCGCCGCCCTCAACCTCGCCTGCAGCCTCCTCGACGCGCCGCCAGGAACGCGCGCGCGGCTCGCGCCCGCTGCGGAGGCCGCCGCGGCGCGCGAGGGGGCGGGTGGGGAGGAGCGGCTGCGGGCGTGCGTGGGGGAGCTGCAAAGGATGTTCCGCTATGCGTCGCGCGCGCCGCTGCCGCCGTCGGTCAAGGCCAAGTACTGCTCCGCACGGCGTGGCCGCGTGGCAACAGTCCCGCTGCCAGCCTGGGCAGCTGATGATTAGGCCCAGACGTCCGCCGCCGCAACAGTAGCCCTGGGTCCATTCCCAGGAGGCGCCTTGTGCCTTTTTTGGAACAAGCTTGTGACAATACTTCAGCCCTCTCCGAGGTCGAGTCGCCCTATGGGGCGATACCTGGGTCCGGCGGCGCTTGTTCCCTACTCAGCAGGGCGCGTTTGCGCACGGCCCCTGCTTGCTAGCCGCGATGGGCTTTGCCTGTCCTTGACACCGCGGCAGTGCCTGCGGCGTCGCTGCTCAGCCCTCTGTGCACTGCTTCTGTTGGCGGTTGTCTGGGCTCTGAGGCCAGCGATGCACCAGGCCGTTATTGCATGTGAAAATTTTCGGCGCCGCACCCCGTCCTCCCTACCTTGGGCACATGACAACCAAACCACGCATCACGCAGCACACGTACAGCTTTCCAACGAACGCGGGGCGCGCTGCCTTCCCTTCTTGCTGGCCCCTCTCAACTCTGGGTTTGCGAAATGTGGCCACGCCACCGTTCGGGCACGCAAGCTTGTCACAGACCACGCGGACGTGCACTCTTTGTACAATGAAGACTCCCTGCCGCACGTGGCGAGGCAGGCTGCTGCACTGAAAGCATCGCCGCACCCCGCCCAGAAAAACTAATGGGTGGGCCGCTCGCAACCCTGCCTGCCGCGCAGCTTTCCTGGGCCTGGCTCACTTTTTGGCACTGGTCGCGGTCCTCATCAACCCGTTCTTGATGGGTTTTTTTGGCACAGACAGACCCCACTCGGCGCATTTTTCAACCACCTTTGTGAATGTCCTTGTAGGCAGTGACGATCAGCATGGCGTGGCACAGTGTGCGAGTGCCATGTGCGCTCACGACACTGCGCTCACGTAGCAACACTGCGCTCCTCCACCCCTCACACTTGCCTCCACTTGGGCGCACTGCCCACACCAATTCACTATCTGAAGGCACATCAATTTTGTCCGATGTCCACGTTCAGGCCTGGTCTCAGCTCCCTTGGCTGTTGTAGTACCAACCAGAAGCTGCGCCGCCACGGTCTTGCTGCTGTTGCGGCATCAACAACATGTTCTTCAACAGAGGCGCTGGCCTGGCCCACACGCGCACGTTGCAAGGTGTGCACTCCCTGCCATTGGAGCCTTGCAAATCTGCACTGCACATGCGATACGAGTCGCTATTGTGTTGGCACATTCGAACTGCGCGCAACACTGCAAGGTGCTCTTCACTATGCAAGGTGTATTGAAGCTGCAGCTGACCAATGCTGTAAGGGATTTGCTGATGCCAATGCTTCATACGATTCAGGGGCTTACGAACCAGTTCAATACATGAAATTTGATTGGGCAGGCTGCGGTGCGGATGTTCAAGAATGCAGCAAATTTGGGGCCATCCTGCATAGATGCAAACAACAACTGGGACGGATCATCCTGCATGCAAGCCGCACTGGCGTGTAGTCGCTGCTAGCCCAGCGTCGCACATCAAAGCGCCATAGTACCACTCGTGCAACAATGGGTGGGGTTCTAGACTAAACAACAAAATAACAGAGGTAGGCAAGACACCCGGTGCCCAACGAAGGCCAGGAGCTACATAATTTGCCCACAAGTGGTGATGCTGCGCAGCAGACAACGTGGGTCTGCAAACCCCAGTCCAACAGGTTTGGCGGATGCGGTGCAGCCGAACAGAACTTGGTTGCCCCCAGCAAGCCATGGTCAGCAGCATGTTGACGCTTGGCCCAACAATAATCAGGCTTTCTTCTCCGCAACAGGGCCCTTTTCTGGCTTGCGGTGCCGCTTGCAGACCTCCGCATTGCAGCAGGCCGCACAACACAGCGCTGCGCACCCCTTCGCAGCGTCCGAGCGCAGGCACGCCCGACACTTGTGCACGTGCCCCGCCGGCGGCCGCGGCACACCCTTTGGCGGCAGGTCGGGCACTCCGCGGCCGCCGCCCGCCTCAAACGCGATCAGCTGCTTGATCCACCGCTCGTCCCCGCCCTCGTTGATGTACGCGTCAAACCTCATCCGCGGCTGCTTGTTGATGGGCAGCCTGGTCAGGTCCCGCAGGCCCGCGGCGGCGCGCAGCGCCGCGACGCGCCGGCCCCGGGCCTCCGCGGCGCACTCGTCCGCGAGGAGCCGCCGCAGCGCCTCGGGGCCGGAGGTTGGGCCGTGGTGGTCGGTCTTGAAGTAGCTGTCCCACCTGGCGGTGGCGGGGCGGTCCGAGGCAGGGTAGGGGGGCGACGGGGTTGTTGCGACGCGAAGCGGTGAGTGTAGAGGGTGGGAAGGGGCGAAGGGCAGACAATCGGATGGCGCCGTTCGGCGTGTGTGCAAGGTTGGGGGCCGGGCAGGACCAATCGACAGGAGCTGTGGCGGGTGGCACAGTGAGCTTCCACGCCAACGTGCCATGCCACACCAAGCAGTGTGGATGAACAAGCAATTCAGCAACGGCAGACAATGGCAAAACTCTCCGGCAACCCCCGCACACCCTCCCTGCCCCACCACCCACACACAAACAAACAGGCAGGCACCTGTCAGCAAAGAAGGTGTGCAGGTACTCCGCTGGGAGCCCCGCCTCCCGCCGCAAGCGCGCCCCCTGCGTCCGCCGCGTCTTCTCGGCCATTTCCGCCGCATGCGCACGCCCCTCCGACTCCACGATCGACGCCAGCAGCTCCTCGAACCCGTCGCCAAAGCCTGCGGCCGCCCACGCACGGTAGCGCTCCTGGAAGCCGGGGAGGTGCTTCTCCGGCAGGCGCGCCTTGAGGCGCTTCTCGATGGCGCGCTGGTTGAGCACCTCTGTGTCCGCGATCCTCATCAGCTCCTTGTACCTGGCCTCCCCCATGCCGCACAGGTTCTCCTCCTTTAGGTCGCAGCGCGCGCCGCCGCGCGCGACCCAGCCGTCAATGGACCCCGCCAGGTCGGGCAGCGGCCCGTCCAGGTCCACCCCGCACCGCGCGCACCGCTCCTCCGCCTCCGTGCGCCGCGCGAGGATCTCGGCCGCCGCGGCGGCCGGCGCCATCACGCCGGGCGCGGCGGGGCCGCCGTCTACGTAGGCCCTGAACAGGTCATGGTCTGAAAACAGCACGGGCAGCTGCGCGGCCGCGATCGCCTGGGCCACCTCGCGCGTGCGCTGCTCCTTGTCCAGCGCGGCGGGCACGTCCTCGACCGCGCCGCCGTCGCGGATGAACCAGACAAAGCGGTACAGGGCGGCGCAGTCGGGAGCGCCCATGCCGCGCTCCACCAAGCAGGCGGCGACGTGGGTGGCACGTGCGGCGTGGGACGCACTGGGCACCTTGCCGCCGAATTCCACATAGAAGCCCATCTGATATGGGGGAACGGTTTGCGGGTTTGGTGATGGCATTGCTTGGGGTTCAGATGGCTGCAGGGCGTGTGTTTGCTGCTCATTGGCAGCCCAAGGCCCTTGCTGACAAACCCCCCTTGCTGCCATGGATGTGAGAAGGCAAACACCAATGCAAACCCAATCTTGAGTTCTAGGGGGTGATTAAATCCATGAGTATCTTGGGCCCAGTCGCCCAGATGCGCGTCGTGGGGGGTTGAATCCGTTGCCATTGCGCACCACACGGCCGGTCTTGATGAATCGCTTCGCGGGCGCCAGCGCCATGAGCGCCCGCCTGCCATGGCGCCGCCCCAGCCTACGCAGCTGCCACTCCAGGTGCGCCCTCCGCAGGTCCTCCTCGGATATTGGCGGCGGCTCCCTGCAGGCGCGTTCGAGCGAGACGGGCGCGTGGGGTGAGCGACAGTTCTGGCTCAGTCGCGCGAGCGTGCCTTGGAGCTGCTTTGACCAGCGCGTACCTTGGGAGGGGCGGGTTGTTGCGCCCGCAGCTGTGTGTCCGAAATCGCTCTTGGCTGTGATGCGTCCCGACCAACGCGCAAACCTCATCGTTGTTGACGGACGCTATGAAAGCCCACCACCCGTCCGTGCGCTGCCATGCCGCACTAGCCGCATGGCTGCCATCTCAACGCCCTCTCCCCTGCATGCCCCCCCTTCAAGCCCCTGCGCACCTCCACCCAGTGAATTGCACGACGTTTCCCCTGAATCTGATGCGCGCCGCCTGCGCCGCGTCCCCCTCGCGGATCATGTACCGATTGTTCCACGACGGCTGCCACATGCCCATGGGCCGCGGCTGCTTGATCCTGTCCAGCAATTCAATGTCGTCCTCCCGCAGCCGCCACTTCGCCATCGCATCCCGCGTGGAGATCCAAGCGCGGCGCTCTGTGCACAAGAATGCGCGGGCGCAGGGCGGTCCCTTTGTGCTCACAAGCGTGGCTGCTCGTGCGTGCTGATCGGCCGATACCGGTGCGCCTGGCATCAGGGCATGTCAGGTTGGGACGTGTGTGGTATCATGTGTGCACGAGCCCCGGAAGCGTTGGAGCCGCAAGCGCGGCGCAAAATCGTCCCCAGCGGACGTGTGGGAGCAACGTTGGCACGCGTCCCTTCAGAATGAAGCAGGCGCACACCTGCCCGCCTGGCCTTGGCCGCTGCCGTGAGCGCTGCCAAGTCAAACGGCCGCCGCACGGGCACCTCCGCCACAGCAGCCACCCCCTCCAGTTGCTGCTGCTGCTCGACCTGCTTGCACACCTGTTGGGCCAGGTATTCTTGGCTGTTCTGCAGCAGCTGCGAGTGGCCCCTGCTGGCCGCGCTGCCGGTCAGCAGGATCGCCTCAACGTCCACCACCGCCGTGTGCTTGGTCGGCACCGCTGACGCCATCGCCCCGCCGTGTGCACCCGCCTCTCCTATATCTGCGTCAAGCTGACGGCGCGGCCCGGGCGCTGGTTGCGTCGGCGCGGCCGGCGGCCACGTGACCGGCGCCTCTATGAGGCCCTTGGCCAGCCACTCGGGGCCCACCAGCAGCAGCCCGCTGACCGACGACAGCGCCAGGCCCGCCGACGCGGCGTATGCGTCGGCCTTGAGCTCGAGCTTGGTGGGTGGGCACACCAGGCGGGCGACGATGATTGCCAGGATCTCGTCTGGGAGGTCAAGCAGGCTGTGATCGCACGGTGCAGCGGCGCTTCGCCGCTGCTGCTTCGCATCGCGGGCCGCTCGCGACGCCATAGCGCGTCGGACTGCCGAGGGGCGAGCGATTGTGACGGATTGATACTATCAATTTACATATGATTATCGCATCCCGGTAAGTTGAGTTCCGCACGCGCGGTTGCAGCACGTTTGGGATATAGGCAAGTGCGTGACGTCGAAGGACGCTTATGATAGCTTCCAGTATCCCAAAATTGACGACCATGCCAATGCTGATGCAGCTTGTGGTACGTATGGCAGTGCTCGTCGCACTGTTGTTTGACTTCTGGTCAGCAGCCATTCACAGTCTCACCTCCTTTCACCACGGCCCTCGATCGGCGCAAGGGACTACTCAAGACGCAAAATGATGGAAGCTGGAGCACAGCATAGCTGTCTGCACATTCTCGCACCCATTTTGTGCAGTGTAGGCCTGCTTGTGGTTTGTGCGGGCCTGAGTGGCACCACGCTGTGCTTGGCACTCAAGCCAGATACGATATTTTGCATGAGCTGATCAACAAGGCGCGCTGAGCAAACCTCTTGTTGCAAAACACATACAGCCCTGAACACCCGATATCATGTTACCGGTACAGGCCAGCCAAACTGCGATGCTGTGAACAAGACTAGACACTGACCTGTGCTATAAACTGGGACATGCCATGCCGATCCCGTTGAGCTTGAAAGTAGTCTGCATGTGCCAGCCGCTACCATGCGGATCGCCCGCAATCTTGGCAGTCTGGCTGCGGGTGCAGGCCGTGAGGTGGAGGCGGGTGATCACCATACCAGTGAACATGGGCGATCGAGCGCATCACGACCGGTGTCCACGGTATGATAACGATGTAGACATGTGATGATGTCGCGCTGAATCCCGTTTTCAAAGCGTTCCAGATCAGTTGCAGTGATCTCATGTCCGCAAATACTGCTTCCGGCCTCCTGTGTGACTTCTCTTGACCTGCGCACTGTGATTTGTTCACATAGCCAGTGTTTCTTGCGCGTAGCACTGGCAGTGGTGCGCAGTGCACAGTCTTGGTGAGCCGTATCCGCTGCCGTCAGCCTGCTAGCTGCGCCGTGGTGGTTCGACAGCGCTGCACAGCACCGCAGCCACCGGTGCCATGGCGCGTGAGCTGCTGCCTGGAGAGGATGAGGAGACGCTGGCGGAGGTGAATTTGCAGCTGACGTCGCGACGCTCGAAAGCGGTGAGCAGGCAAAGCGGCTGCCCGCCCACGCAGAGCAGGGCCGTGTTTCTGCCGCGTGGGCCTCTAGAGTACAGGCTGGGATGCAGGATCGCACTCGAAGCCAAACTGGAGCGGGCGGCTTGTAATTGCGCGCAATCGGCGAGGGAGCCTAGCACAGCAGCACAGGTCCCGTTGCCATCTCCGCCGCTCCCGCAGAAGGGCGTGTGCTTCCCGCGCGTGCGCGTGTCAGAGGCCCAGATAGAGGGGGCGCTGGCACAAAGCATCCCAGTGGTATCGGTGGCAGCGGGGCTGCAGGCGGCCTGGCCCAGCGGAGGCGGCGGCGGCGGCAGTGGGGGCAGCGGGGGCAGCAGCGGCAGCGCTGGCGGCCTCCTAGGCGCTGCCGCGGGTGTGGCGCGGCTGCTTCAGGCTAGGTGGGGCTCTGAGTGGTGGCGGGTGGCTGTGTGGCTGTCTTGTCAAGTTTTCCACACCTTCCTGTGGGTCTCGAGGTTGCTTCCTGGACGCAAGGGCTCTCAGACAATCTTGACTCCGCCCACCAACACCACCCCTTCTCCCCGACCACACTCCCCCCCAGACTTGGCATACCCCTGCCCTGGCCGCTGCAGCCGCGCGCCCCCATTGCCCCGCCGCCACCGGAGCTGCTGGCCTGGCACGCCCAGCGCCAGTGGCTCGCGGTCGGCCACGCGCCCACTGATTCCGTCCTCGTGTACGACCTAGACAGCGCCCCGGGGGACGGGTCCGAGGCGGTTGACGAGGCGAGGTTCGTGCTGACTCATGAGCTGCAGCGCGGCCTGTCGTGCCTGGCCTGGCGCCCCGTGCACTGCACCATGGTCGCCGCCGGCGTGGAGGGCGGCGCGCTGCTGTGGGCGCTGGGGCGGCAGCCGCTGGCCGCGGCGGGGGCCCAGCGCGGCGCGGGCGGCGCTGCGTGGGCGTCGTTCCTCCACTTTGCGGACGGCTGCAGGTGGGTTTGAAATCGCACTCATGGGTTGCTTTGCTCTGGGTGTGGGGGCGTTGAGAAGATTCACACTCTGCTGCTACTCGCTTTGCAGCCGCCCTTACTGGGGCTGCCAGGGTGGGGACATCACTCGGGCTTGCTGCCGTGCAAGGCCGGCGCACCACTTCCCCCTCAACCTCAACCTCCCAGCCCAACCCAACCCTCAGCCTACCACCGCTCGTGTCCCCCCCCCCCCCCCCCCCGAGAGCAGGGTGACGGCGCTAGCCTGGTGCCCCGACGGCCAGCGGCTCGCGGGCGCCAGCGAGGACTGCAGCCGCGTGGTGGTGTGGGACGCCGCCCTGGGCACGGGCGCGCTCGTGCGGCTGGGGCTGGACCCCGTGGCGCTGCTGCGGTGGTCGCCCTGCGGCGCATACCTTTTTGCAGGCGCGCGGGGGCCGCAGGCTACGGTGGGCTGAGCCATGGGCGGCGCTGGCCGTGCCCCCCAGCGGGCGCGCGGCAGCCACGGCGTGAAGTGGAAACGCGTTGCGTCCTCCTGGGCACGACGTCGACGGGCAGCCGGCTGGTAATTGACGGCGGTCATTGCCGTGCCGTCTCAACCGTAAATCACCCGGCTCTAGTGCGCCATGTAACGGCACACCCCAACCCACCCCACCTGGCCCAACCCCACCCCATCCCGACCCACCTGGCCTGATTGAACGGATTAAACACCACCCCACTCGCGTGCGCGCAGCTGGTCGCGGGGGCCGCTTCCACGTGACAGAGACCTCCCACTGGCGCACGGCCTTCTGGGACGCGCCTCCAGGCAGCGCGGTCGCCGCCGCGGCGTGGGCGCCCTCGGGCCGCGTGCTGCTGCTGGCTTTCAGCGGCGCGGGCGGCGGCTCAGGCGGCGGCGCGGGTGCGGGGAGCCCTGGTGGCGGTGGCGGCGGCGGCGTGGTGGCGCTGCATCTGGTGGGCGACCCTCCCAGCCTGTTGGAGCAGGTACTGCCGGTAACGCTGCCGGAGGTGACATCACTTGACAGGTGGGCAGGTGTGACGGCGCTTGCAGGGCCGGGAGCGCTGGCTTGTGACCCAGGGCCAAGGCAATGCTGCGCTGGTGTGATTCCTGTGACTGCAAAGCTGGCTGTTCCGTAGCCCTCAGGCCAGGAATCCGCAGCCTGCCAGGCTGCCCCTCAGCCCTCCGCACCCACCACAATATCAGCAGCATGATCTCCGTGCGCTTGTCAGCTGGGCTCCCCACAGCGCGTCGCCCCATCCGTCTATCCATCGCCGTTGCCCCGCACGCTCCCCGCTTCTTCCCAGGCTCCCGGGCGGCCCCCTGCCCCCGCTTGCTGCAGCGGTGTCCGACATGGCCTGGGACCCCTCCGGCCGCCGCCTGGCGGTGCTGCTGCGCGCCCCGCACCCCGCGGCGGGGCTGGTTGCGGTGTACAGCACGGTCCTGTCGCCCCTGCTGCATGCGGAGCTCATTGGCTTCGCACGCCCGCTGGCGGCACGGCCCCGCGGCGGCGGCAAGGGAGGCGGCGCTGCCGAGGACGACGCCGCAGGGCCGCACGGAGGCGTGGGCGGCGGCGGCGCGGCGGCGGCGCTGGCGTTTGCGGCGGCGCCTGCCAAGGGTGGCGCGGTGCTGAGCGTGGCTGGCTGGGTGCAGGGCGGGCGGCTTGAGGTAGCCAACCTCGCGTTGGCCCTGTGATGCAAGGGGGCTGTGCGGGTGCTGACGAGCCGCGCCGCATGAGCGCGGCAGTAACCCCTGCGGGCGGTCGGAAAACAGCGGGGTGTAACCTGCTGCTTTGCAGCACTTGGTCTGCTCTACGGAGGCGCAAACCGCACCGTGTATTTTGGAAGGATGAGCACAACACACAAGCACGGTCACAGCGGCTGCGGTAGCCGCAGGCCCCTGGCTGCGCAGCGGCAGCATGGGCGTCCCAGCAACTGTTTTGTCATCCTTGGGACAGCGAGTGTTGCTGGTCGTGACGTCCTGGTGCCTGCAGCTGGCCGGCTGGCACAGGTCTGCCGCCCGCATCAGCCTGCTTTGCACGGAGGCTTACTGCAGGCGTGAGGGCATTGCAGCCCTCAGACGGGTGTGAGCGGCTGGGTGCAGGCCGCAACCAGTGTCAGTAACTGGGCAACCTCCAGTCAGGAAGTACCGTACTCTGCTGGGCACCAGGAATGCGGCAAGATTTTACAGCAAACAGAGCGCAACATGTACAGGGACACAGAACAACAACAGCAACTTGTGACGGGATGCCACCAAACGATGCCCCTCGCCCGAGCGGTGTCAACTCCCCGCGAAATGCCGCCGCTCATACCCAGCGCACGCCCGCCGTCACGCCTGCCAGCTGTGCTGGCGGCTAGCGGGGCGGCTGTACTGCGACATGCCGTACGTGGGCAGCATCAGGGCGTGGCTCAGCCGCCGCCGCCGCAGCACCACCACCTCCGCCAAGACCGCCGCCGCCAGCACCACGGCAAATGCGACCGCCGCGGCCGCGAGCAGCGCGGCCGCGCGCCCGAGCGTGCTGCCGTGGCGGGCGGTGCAGCAGGCCATGACTGTGCGGGCCTCCTCCAGGGTCGCGTCTAGACCCTCACAGAGCCGCGCCGCGGCTGGCAGCATGGCGGTCCGTATGGTCTCATCCGCGGATGCAAAGTCGTGCTGAGGGCGGGCGGGCAGGCGGGTGGGCGGCAGGGGAACCGGGGGATGGAGGTAGGTTCAGGAGCAGGAGGGGTTTGGCTGGCAGGAATAATGCAAGGAGAGGCCGGCAGAGGCCCTGGTATATCGACAGACGCCTCGTGGCGGCCACAGCGGAAACCCTCGGCAAAGAGCCGTCTGCCACTGCTGGCGCTAGCTGGGGCGGCCAACCAGCGAGCGCCTTAGCCAACAAGAAGAACAGTGCGCTGATGGCTGAACGGCAACCACAATACAGGAACGCATACGCAATTACGCACTCTCATGCACGCGAGCGCACACACCAAACCACCCACCGAATACAGGTCACTGGCCAAAGCCTCCAGGTGCTGAGTCAGCACCCCCATGCGGCCCTCCAGGTCAGCAACAGAATCAGGGGTGATGGCGGTCTGGAAGCCGTGGCGCGTGCTGCAGGTGCGTTTGTCGCGAGGTTGGGATTTGAAGGGCGTGCCAAAGGTGCCTGGGTCCAGATTAAAAATAGCTGGGTCGATGGGGCCAGACACGGGGGCGCGCCACAGCAGGGAAGGAGGGCCACCAAAGTGGGGGCCTGCAGCCCACCAGCCGGGCAGCGCCAAAGCGCCGCCCTGGGCATCCACGCCAGCGAACCCCCCGCCTCCCCGTGCCCTCAACAAAGACTCCCAGGCCAGCGGGACCCCGTCACAGCCTTGGAAACGCCCCGCCCGCCCACGCCCCTGCACTCCCGCAGACCGCGCCCACCTGGCCACCGTGTCCAGAAAGTGCTTGCGCCCCTCTAGCGCGCCCGGCCCCACCCCCGCCGCCGCCCACGGCGACTCAAAGTTGTCCGCCACAAAGTCGTCCAGGGCGTCCAGGCGGTGCTGCGTCGCCCTCAGAGCCGCAGACACGTGGGACAGCAGGAGGTTGCGGCGCGCCGCGTTCTGCATGAGCTCCGACACGTCCGAGTAGTTCGAGTAGGGGCCAAAGGGCGTGGCGCCGACGGCCCAGCGCCAGTCTTGGAGGGCGGGGCCGGCGTGGGCGCGCGGGCGCGAGTAGGGCGGGAGGACGCCTGCGAACAAGGGGCGCGGGCAGCGGCGCAAGGGATAAGTATAAGGTGGGCGCATATCTGACTTAAAAAAAATCATTAGACACACATGCCCGCACTGCTGTTACCATCCGCCGCTCACCGGCCAGCGCCTGCGCGAGGCCGGCCACCACGTGGTGCGTCACGTCGTGGCCGTCAGCCGTGATCCTCCTGCCGTTGGCCACATGCCCAGTGGAGACGTCGTCCCTCTCGCCACCCCATTGGGCGCTGCGGGGAGGGTGGGATCCAGAACGGACGTGCCGCTGTGTTACTCGGGGTATGATGTAGTGGGCTATCAGGGCGGGGCGGTTGGTGCAACCACAGACGCCTTGGCAGATCAAACGATTTGCTTGCCGCTCTCAGTCTTGGTGCAGCGCTGGCGCCCAGTATCAGCTGAGTGCTGCGCGCAGCCGAGCAAAGATGCGACAAGACCCAAAGCCTTGCCTATGGTGGCAACCCCATGTCCACACCCCATGTCATGCTGCGCTCTCCTGCGTGCAATCACTTCGCATTAAGAGTGACTCGAGCACAGTCGACGGCCACCTGCCCTGCCCACCCACCTGTTCCTCGGCTGCAGCACCAGAACGGCGTCATGGCTGGCCGCCACCATCTCCTTGTTACTGAACATGACGTCCTCCGGCGCCTTCATAAGCGATATGACAAACACCGGCACCACCCTGGTCCCGTCGTGGCGCAGCTGCTCCAGCGGGTGGGCCCCCTCCTTTGACATGGCATGGGCGGCGCCTGCATGGTGGCGGTCATTGGCAAATGTTGTGTTTGCAGGGATGCGGGTCTGCTGGGATTGGACGCGGCTTGATTGAGCGCGCTTTTTTTGCATACCTAGGGGATTGATGTTGACTGACTGCACTGCTGAGTGGTTGTGCAGCAACCAACAACGCGCGTGGCATCTGGCTGTACTGGGGCAGTCTGCCGGAACAGCCACACAAAAACACACCGTCCCACACAGCTGGGTCCTTCGCGCCACCGTTGCACCGCATGGCCGAGCAAGCGCCCGCCCGTCGCGCCATCCCGCGTTACTTGTTAGCCTTACTCACCCACGAGGCCGTGAGTCAGGGTGTCGGCGGCGAGCGCAATCTCCTCCAGCAGGGACTCTGGGTCCACCGCAGTGTGGGACACGGTGTGGTGGCCCACACGCGAGGCTGCGGGGATGACATTGACATGAAGGAAGGGGGCGGGATTCAGGGGGTGCAACGGCGTGGTGGGTTGATACCGACTGTGGGATGGCTGGGTGCGGGGGTGCAGTGGGGGTGTGCTCCATGGGATGCAGTTGTTGGCAGTCTCACGTGAACAGTTTGACTTTGGCAGACGGTGTGAGGGATAAGGAGGCGCCCTTTTCATGCCAGGACGCCAATCAGGCGCCGAAACTGATTCAGGATCTGGTTCCCCCTCTGATAGACTGCACACGGCAGCCACGGTTGCAGCCCCCTGATAGCAGGCTGTACACAGCAGCCACGTCTGCGGCGCCCCAATGGGCGGCGCCCACCTTTGCCCGCCTCATGCTCCAGCGCCGGCTCCGCCCTCAGGCGCCGCGCCTTCCAGAGCGCGGCTGCAATGGCCTTGTGGCGGCTGAGGGGGTGGTGGGCGCTCACCACCACCGCCTCCTGCTGCTGGTCGATCAGGCGCGCCACGGCAGCCTCGATGTGTGTCAGGTTGATGTGCATGAAGTCCTCCTGCCATAGGCAGTTATGGTTGCTGGTCAGGGCGTGGAATTGTGGATTTGCACTTGTTTTGAGGCGTGAGGAGTGCATTTGAGTGGGAGGGTCCCGCACTTGCAGGTTTGAGTAGGCTTGCGCCCTGCAGCGGCGCGTCGGGCAGGCGGTGCACAGGCACCACATCTGGAAGGGCACCGTGCTGGATGGTGGGCGGGCGCTCAGCTTGCAGGCTGTCGCTGTGCAAGGCCACCTGTGGGTTGAGACCCCTGGCTCTGCCCTGCCTGCACTGTCTGCCCCACATACCTGTGTCATGTGCTTTTCGTAGTCATCATCAGTCAGTTCGTAATCAGTCAGCAGGACGACAGGGATCTGAGGGGTGGACGGGTGGGTGACTGCCGCGGTTGAGAGGGCGATGGCCGCGTCAAGTGCGAGGCAGCCTTGGGGAGTACGGGTCGATGCATGAGCCACCAGCACAGCGCAAAAGGCAGGCAGCAGCCCCCCAACCCGATCAAACCCAGCAATAACATGTCCAAGCCCAACCCCTCCTTGCCACTCCTCACACGCCCCCCCCCCAAACGCCCTCCGCCCCCCCAGGAGATCCCACCAGGATGTTCTTTGCATACTCGATGTGCTCTGTCGCCATGTCGGGCACAAACAGCGACCGCGCCCCCGCGGCCACCGCGGACGCCAGGGCCCCCTCGAATAGCGCCTTCTGTGCATGGCGCGCAACAACCTGCATGGGGGAGGGGGGCGGGGAAGGTGGCAATCGGTTGTCAACCAGAGCGTCGGCAGTGCGCTGGTCTGTCTGTTGTGGCTGTCTCACATGCTGTACGAGCGGCAGGTGGAGAGAATCGTCACTGGAGATCCAGCTTGTGCGAATGGATGCGAGAGGCGTAGAGGGCGCGAGCTCACAGACAGCACAGGGGGCACACTGAAAGGTGGGGCAAGGCAGGAACAAGGGGCAAAGGGGGGTGTGGCGTGCCTGTGCGTGGTCCTGGGCGCTGATGGATGGCCCGGAGGCGTTGAGGTCCCTCATGATGGCGCGGTAGACGTCCTGGAGGGGAGGGCGGCGTTTGGTTGAGAAAACACAACCTTCTTTAAGAGGATTGAGGTGCTGTCAGCGGATGGGGACTCAGAAGCTTTGGGGGGGGGTGGGTGGGGAACATTACGATGCAGGAAGGAAAGCTGCCAAGGTGTGAGGGGCGTTGTTGAGCTCCTGAGGGGCCATGGACAGCACAGGCAGCCGATCCGCTGATACAGCAGGCCGGGCCAGCGGACGGCCAATCGTAAGGTGCGAGCACACAAGCGTCCGACAGCATCCCTGCAGGCCTGCAGCCTGCGAGCGCATCGACGGCCTCCCTCAACAGCGCCGCCCCCCTTCCCCCCTGCCCTTGCCATCCGGGGCCCCTCGTGAGAGTAGGCGTCCGCCCTCACCCTGAGCGCCGGCAGCGCCCCGGCCCCGACGGCGCCCTCGCTGCTGGCGGCGGGGCCGTAGCTGGTGGGGCCGGCCGCCACGTCAACCACCACGTAGTTACGGGACGACAGCCTGGCCGGGTGGGCACGGGGTCAAGAAATGGTAATCCTTTCCCCCACACACTGGGGAATTGAAGCTGCCAGCGCAGAATGCAAGATGCAAGCCCCAGACCCAAGGACCAGCACTGAGCACGGGCGCAGTGGGCAGGAGCCGGGCGCATCCCCCGGCCAACAAGGCGGGCCGCGTTGCGAGCGGCGTCGTCCCTCCGTCAGCCGGCCGTCTAATGGTTCTCTGGGCGCGCCCCCGCCCCCCAGGCGTCCGCGCACCATGTGGTGGCCTCCCCCAGGCCGTTGTAACTGTAGCGGTACACCAGGCCCGCCTCCTCCTTGTCCAGATCAGCGGGGCTGAAGGTGTGACTAGGGGTGGCAGAAGGCGGGTTCAGGCAAGGGGGGGAGTATGGGCGGGCTTCATCATATGTGTTGAGGGCACTGTGCGGTGTCCATGCAGCCGCTGAGTGTACTCGTTTGTTTATGGCATGGCTGTTGAGGTGGCGGACTAAGGTCGTTGAGGTGGGCGGCCAGGGCTGACAGCAGCGCCACATGAGCTCAAGGTTGAGGTTGCTGGTGTGGGGGCTGTGCACATTGAACGCAGCCCGCGTGACCAGTTCCGCTCAAGCGTGGCATTTGCCCCCTTTGAGCCGCACACCCCACCTGCGCCACTGTGCCAGGAAGTCCGGCACGTGGTGGCTTGCGGCTTCAGGGGCGCCCACTGGGTTGGCACGCACCTGGTGTTGCGGGATGAGAATGGAAACAGCGGTGCAGAGCGCGAGGTGTGTGTTGCGGCACAGGAAGCGGTGCAACGGCTGGATCGCAGCTGTAAGGCTGAGTGATCCAGGCGGCCAACGCAAAGGGAGTGTCCTGTGCACCAGGGCGGTAGGCCCGGGCGATAGATGGTGATTGCAGGGCTGGGCAATCACACCTTGCTCGGATTGATGATGAAAATCGGGTTCTGATTGTGCCAACTGTGGCCCTTCTCGTTCTTCTCCCCTGCAGGATTTCAGTGGGCGGATGGAGGGCGTGGGGTACACTAAGCATCTGGCGGCTGCCGCCATGCAAGGGCAGAATAATTCTGGGCAGATCAACTATGAGAATAACTCTGGGCAGAATAACTATGAGCCCACTGCGCAGCCCAACCAGACAGGTGCCAATCTGCCAGCTCTTTGTGCCCCCATCCACCTTGTGTGCACGCCTGAATTCCATTGACCCAACCTTTCGCAGCACACACCAACCAGCAAACTAGGGCCAGCTCATCTTTGCCCCCCCCTGAATCTTCCACATTTCTGCACCCCTGAAAGCCTCCCAACACCACCCGGAACTCCCCAAAGCCCGTCATCATGACCCCCCTCACCGCGGCCGTAGGCATACTCCATGAAAGCGTCAAACAGGGGCTCCAGCCCTGCCGCATCCACTGAGTACTCCACTGTGCGGTCGCCACCTGCGGTTGGTTTCATGTGCACAATCTTGTTGAGGTGAGTATGAGGCTGAGATGCGGCGAGACTGCGCGGGCACACGTGCTTTCGTGCACGTGCGTGAAGGGGTGCGCACGCGTGGGGCTTGTGTATTTGCGGAGGGGTCGAAGGGGGTATGTGCAGGGGGCGGTGGGTTGGTGGTGTGTTATCAAGTTGCGGGTGCACGTGCTGCGGATGGTGCTCAGCGGTACGTCACATGCTCAATAAACTGCGAATTGGATGGCAGTGATTGGGGCCAGCGTCCACAACCGCAACCGCCTCGAGCGCCCGCACCAGGCAGCACCGGCGTCCTCTCCCTGGACACATGGCCTGCCCCAGCACTCACTGGGCCACCAAGGGGGCCCAACCTTGTGCAACCCCGGCACCCACCCTGGCCCTGACCACCAAATGCATCTCCCTGCAGCATCCACGGCTGTGCGATGTCCTTCATGTTGTGTCTCAGGTGCTCCTCAATGCGCCCCAAGAGTGCCCCAGCCTGCAGGCAGCAGCCGACGACACCGCACCACGGGCGGTGATGCAGGGGGTGCCCTCGGGCCAGGTTGGCTGCTGGGGGAGCTGCCGCCGGCGCTGCCACGTCCTGCTGCGCGCTGCCCCTGCGGCTGCTCGTCGCCCACTGCAAGTCACCGGGCTTCCCTTGGTTGCCCGTCCCTGAGCACCCACTTGACCGCGCCCCTCGCACGCCCGGTGGGCCCATCACCGCCTCCCAACCCCCACACACGTCCACATTTGCATGATATCATACCTGCTTGCGCCCTGAGAACACCATTATCTTCACACCCCACTGGCCGTCCCCAACATAGCGCGCCGCACCCCGCCAGGGGGCAGCCCCCTCACCTCTGGCCCCAGTGCGTCGGCCCCGAGGACCTGGAAGTTCATCTGGAAGCAGACACCCAGCTCCTCCCCGCTCTCGAGGGAGTGGGGGCACGCGCGCGAAGCGCCCGCGTTGAGCAGGCTCAGCAGCTGGGAGGCGTCCTGCCTGCGAGCGGGCAGAGGGGGGCAGGGATGCCGCGCGGGGGCGTCGGCGGCGCATGAGGAAGCCAAGCACGCCACACCCTTCATTGCCGCTTCCAGGCCACTGCCGCTGTCTTGGTGCTGAGAAATCTGCTGAGACCATTTCACATGGACCGAAACGCCCTCCACAGCTCGACCCCAACCCCCTCATTCTCACTTGTACGCATATCCGCCATCGCCGTCGAACCCTATCAGGAACACCTCTATATCAACAGGCACAATCAATGACTGTGATAACGGCAACAGAGATAAGGGGATGGGGGTGCCATGCGGGGGCGCCATGCGGGGGCGCCCGCAGCAGAGCAAGAGGGGGGTGAGTGCCATGACGACGGCGGTTGCGGTTACTATGGTTATGCGCAGCGCAATCGCAGAAAGCATGACACACATGAAAAATTTTCCAGGAGCATATCCTAGAGTCAGCCCTGTCGAAGCCAACGAGGCAGAGGCGACATAAGCGCGAGCCATGCTCGGGCACGCTCCGAGCAATGCTGGGATGCGACCGTGGTGCATCAACTGCTGTGCTGGCGACCCGCCCGGGGTGCAGACTTCCGAGATGCCCTGCTCGATGTATTTGATCATATTTACCTGTCCTCTCTCTTCTAGGAACGTCTTAGCTGCACTTCTCGCCTTCCTCTGCGCTGCCTCGACCCGTTTTTCAAAGTCCAGCCGCGGTTGCCCCCGTTTCGAGCACGCTGGTGGTACGAGCGCGACTATGATCAGCACTATCAACCAAAAAGGTGACAAAGTCTTCATTATGATCTAACGGTACGTAGCAGACGCAGCATCATTTTCGGGCGTCCAGATGTGTGTGAGAGACTTTCATGACTGCGTGTAGTCGCACGTAAACACCAACGACCGGTTGTCGGCCGTGTCACCCGGCCAGTGCCACTTCCCTGCGTCGTCTCCAAATTTGTCATCTCGCAGGATTGATGATCGCGACAAAAGTGACGCGATCATCCGATATAAACATCTAGTCTGAAACTTCAACACACACGCGCCTGCGCACCAGCATGGCCCTCCCTCCCGCACCTACACCCACTAGCATGGAGCTCCCAGCCACGCGCCAGCTCTCCGCGGCACTGTCAAGCATGGATGACGGATCACGTAGCGCTGCAGAGCTCGTGTTGAGCAACGACGTGTGCCTGGGCACCGTGTTCGCGGCGCTCGACGGCGCCTCCCTTGGCCGCTGCGCTGCTGTCTGCCGGCTCTGGCGCGAGCTGCTGTGCCGCGACGCCGGCGCAGACGCGGTCATTTGGAAGGCCTCATACCTGGCCGAACACAGGCGGGAAGCGCTGCCGCGCGAGTGGCTCGGCAGGTGAGGTGCAGGCTTGCATGGACGCGCACCTGCTGCATGGTCGCTTCCCTGAGGCGCCTCAGCCCTCGCCTCTAGCTCGGCAAACGGCCGCTTGGCGTTGATGCATCCCGGCAATGACCCTCTGCATTGAGGGCCGTGTCGAGCGCCGCCTGCAGCTCGCTCCAAGCCTGCTGCCCTGCAACGGGCCCACATGCAAAGGCCGCATGGTTCCCCCGCCACTTCCCACTCCGCTTCTCGCCTCGCTCACGCAGCTATCGAGCCATGTATGCACGCGCGGCTGGCCTCCTGTCCGTGCCCGCGACCCACGTGCTGCCGGTTCAGGGCAGCGCCCTCTGCTACAGCCCCGGCGCGCGCGCCGTCGTCGCGTTGGCGCCGCGCGGCAACGTGCTCAGCGTGGTCGACGAGGGCGGCGCGGTGCGCGCGCGCGGCGTGCCGGATCGCGGTGTGGCGGGTGCGGGGGGACGGCCGCTGCTGGCGGCGCTCGGCGGCAGCCTGGTTGTGCTCACCGCCGGCGACGGCGTAATACAGGTGCGGCGCGACCCTGTGGTGCTCTGCCAACAATAGGTCCACCGGACCCGGCTGCCACCCTTTCAGTTGCATTCACATGCATGCACACGGAGCCTCCCCGCGCGGTCTCGGTCTCACGATGCTGCCCCAAGCTGACCACCATGGCGTGGGCTGACAACAGCATGGGCCGTCTCGCACAGGACGCCTCAGTGGCGCCCCACCTGCCGTTGCCCTGCATCCACCCTCGTACTCCCTGTGCACGCGCAGGTGTGGGACGCCAGCACACTCTCGCCGGCGGGCACCCTGGGCGCCCACTCTGCGCCACTGACCAGCCTGTCAGCGGACGGCACCCTGGTCGGATCGACCTGCGCCTCTGAGCTGAGGCTCTGGGAGGTCGACGAAGCGGCGGCCGCGTCTGCCGCCGCCGCCGCAGCTGCTGCCGTGGCAGAGGGAGGCGCCCGCGGCTCTCCTGCTGCCGCTGCTGCCGGGCCACGCGAGAGCGGGGATGCAGCATTTGCAGCCGAGGAGGGTGCGGATTTGCAAGCAGAGGCGGAGGCGGCGCCGGCGCTGGCGCCTCCGACAGCAGCGCAGCGGGCGCTCGAGGAGGCGCAGCACGCGCGCACCATCGTGGGCCGCTGCCTGTCTGCGGTGTCCATCGGCCTGCCCCTGCCCTCACACGTCCTGGAGCCCCGGGTGGTGGTCTGCGGCGACCGCCGGCTGGCGGCCCTGTCCAACTGCAGCGCGCCGGCGCCGTCGTCGGTCGTGCGCGTGTACTGCGCGCGACAAAACGGGACCGCGGGCGCGCTGCTGCGGGAGCTGCCTGTGAACGCGGCGGCCGACATGGCGTTTGTGCCGGGGCGGCTGCTGGTCGCGTCGGCGTTCCACGGGCGCAGCCTTGGGGGGCCGGAGCGCGCCTTCACCGTGGTGGTGCACTGCTGGGACACCGACACCTGGGCGTGGTCGCGGCTGGTGTCGCCGAGGTGGGAAGGGGGGGATTTGAAGCAGCCTGCACTAACGCGGCGCAGGAGTGCGGGATAAACCTGGGACTCGGCTGTCGGAGCTTGTGCTGGACCTGGACAGGGCCAATGCCAGGCTGCCGGCGCACGGTCGCCGCCCATACAGCACCCACCCCTCCCTTCTTCACCCATGCTGCGTCAAACCAAACCCCTCTGGCTCGGCAGGCTGTCGACGACATTCCCTGTGACATCGGGGCAGGGCCTGCCCCTCATCCACGTCACACAAGACTGGCTGCTCTGCGCCACCCCCACGCGCGGCGCCAGCCCCATCCCCTCCTGCTGTGTCAACGCCTGGCGCCTGCCGCACCAACAGGCCGCGGCGCCATCGGCGGGTGGGGACAAGGCAGTGCGTCTGAGGGCAGCTGGCGCCGGTGAGCAGCATCAGCAGCATCAGCATCAGCAGCAGCAGCAGCAGCAGGACAAGGCGCACCAGGACGGGCAGCAGCTGCCGCAGCAGCAGCAGTTGCAGCAGCAGCAGCAGCAGCAGCGGCCGCCTGTGTTTCTGTTTGTGGGGGACAATGGGGAGGGGTGCGACCCCTGGCACCCTGTGCTGGCGGAGACGGGCCCCGGGCGCCTGGGGGTGCTGACCAGCTCCCCCTGCAGCCTGCTCATGGCAACGCCCGAGGGGCAGGTGCGCGCGGCTGATATATGCAGGGTCGCACACGGCAGGGGCAACGCCGTGCAGGAGTGAGTGGCCCTGCATCAACAGACAGCACAGGTTTGTAGTTTTGGGTCGGCCTCTTGCAGTCGATTTGTGTTGCTTACTCCTTCTTTGTGGGCTTTGTCTTGTTTGAGGCTGTTGTAGGCTGGCACTACAGCAATTTGTTTCCCACAACCTGCACAAAATGCTCTTGCTTTACACGGCATGCACAAAATGCTCTTGCTTTACATGCCATGGTTTCACGTCAGTTTTTGGATGGTTGACCAGTGCTGTTGCAAATGGTAACGGCATTGAGACAGTTGAAGAGTGACGGTTGCTGCTTGAGGCGCCAAAACCAAATGTGAAGCGTTCGGTGTCCGCGCCGCAACGAGTGCCGTCCTAGACACGCGCCCCTGCCAGCGCCGCGCCAGCCGTCATCCCGACCGCCAGGTCGTCACCGCCGAGCAGCGCTGCGTCCTGTGCCACCGGCGCGTTGAACACGAGGATGCTGGTGCGCGCGCCGTGCAGCACGTCAGATATGGACTGTTGAGGGATTGAAGATGGGGATAGTGGTGATGGTGGTTGTGATCATGGCAGTTCAAATTTGAAAGGTGTTTCCCCAATCGACGGACCCGCACAAGCCCCATTGGGGCTTCCCGCCGCTGAAACCGTAGTTCCCTTGTGAGTGGAGCAAAGGCTGAGGGGGATGCAGGCCCCTGCACTTTGATGGAGCGGCGCACAGCACGGGGCCCTCGAGCGGCGCCCACCTGCGGCAGCGTCTTGCAGGGCGGCGCCTGCAGCGCGATGATGTCGACGCCGTCCACCTGGGCAGCCTGGATTGGGATCGGACAGCACGGCTCACCCAGAGGACGCGTTCTTGCTATTGGCACGATGCCCCGTGAGGCGAGCACCCAACCCCTAGCCTACAGCTTGCCTCTTCACCTCGTGTCCGTGCAGGCCACGCGATGCAACCCATGTGAGCGCCGCACCTCTGGCAGCGCCTTGGCCCCCGGCTCCTTGAACAGGCGCTGCGCAGTGTAGAAGTCGCTGACGGTCGCCTGGGCTGTGTAGTTGGTCAGCATGCGGCGCGCGGTCTCCTTCACCTGGGGTGTGAAGGGGCGGGGGACGGGAGGGGGGCGGTTGTGGATGCACTGCCTTGAGGCCTTCTTGTTCTGCAGGGTCTGCTGCTTCGCAAGGGGCGCGGTGCTGCCGACGCCCCGCATGTCAAAAATTGTTTTGCACGCTGAGACATGACCGCTCAGCGGTCTGCATGTGTGCGTTTGCGCGCGTGTGCCGTGTGCGTTTCTGTCTGTGCTGCACGCACCATGCCAGTGCCCTGGTCCACCGCGCGCCCCACTGCCAGGAAGAGTGTCGCCTTGTCGGGGTCCAGCCGGTCCATCAGCCACGACAGCAGGTGGCGCGTGTTGCTCTGGCAGTCCACCATCACGCGCAGGCCTGGGCGCGCAGCGCGCGGCGCGCCGTGCAAGGCATGCACAGCGTTATTGGGGCCACAGCTGGCAGGTGCGACGCGGCACAGCCTCTGCCACTAGCTGCAGTTCCATGTGAAGCTTTGCAACAACCGACTTGCCGCAGTCAGTCGCCCTAGTCATCCTTCAGCACATTGATGCGTAATTCAGCGGCGCTCGTGGATTGTTCAGATGCGTACCTGCTGCTGCGGTCCCGCTGCGCAGGTAGGCGCCAGTGCTGTTTGACTTGACCACCAGCAGGGGGCAGCAGCGCACCGCCCGAACCAGGCGCAGCGCAAAGGACCCGGACGCCGGCATGGGGTCGTCGCGCGTGCCTGTCGGCAAGGAGCGGGCCGGATGAGGACGGCTGCTGCGTAAACAGCCAAGTTCTGTGCTGCAAAGTCAAGAGGCAGTGCCTTGTAGCGCAAGCAGGCTGATCGCTTGTTGTCGTGGCTACGGATGCGGCCTCCCAGAACGGGCGCCTGCTGCCTCCTGGCCCTATCACAAGATTCGTGACCGCGGCAGCGCACCTGTCGTGCTCAGATGGTGGGAGCCACACACCACCAGGTCGGCGCGGCTAGCCTCTGCGTACTCGGCGATGACGTCACTCAGCCTCTGGTCGCCCTTGATAAGCACCACCGGCGACGCGGCCAGCGCCGGCAAGGCAGCCGCCGCGGCCGCTGCGCCCGTGGCGGCACCGGAGCTGCTGCCGCTGCTGCCGCCGCTGCTCCCAGAAGGGGTCTGCTCCAAGAAGGGGCGCAGCAGGGCCTCTCCGAAGGCGCGGCTCTCCTCAGAAGACACAACCGTCACGACCTGTGCAGGGGGGCAGTGCAGGTGACACAGGCGCAATAGGTGCACAAGCGGTCTTTGCTATTGCGAGGTGTGGGGCGAGCCTTGGTTTGGCGACCTGTATGTGCGACCTGATGCCCACGCTTGCGTCAGACGACATGCTGTACCGATGACTTGGGGTGCCAAAGGCGAGACCCAGGAATACAGAGGCTCTGTGGCAGGCAAACTGCACGACCCGCGCGCTCCGCCCACACACCTGCAGCTCGTCCTGCGGTCGCAGCAGCGCGGCTGCCATGCGGTGCGCCAGGCGGCTGGCATGGTTGTCTACCGCCAGCAGCAGCACACGCGCACCTGAAGCCGTAGGATCAAGTGATGTGCATGCGAGGCAGCAAGCCGCACCACGTCGCACGACCTGAGGAGACATTTTAATAATGCGGCGTGGCTGGCGCAGTGCGGCTGCATGCTGCTCGATGCAGTGCCACCCCGTCTCGCCCACGCTGCGGCCCCATACTGCCGTCGCCGCACTCAAATCCATTCAACTCACCTCTTCGGCTTGTCGTCGTCCTGACCGAGCGCGTCCCTTCCATAATTCACCCCGGAGTGTTTGACCGTGTCAAGGCAACGAGGACGGATGGCAGCTTCAAAACGGTTGATGATTTACAGTTATTTTGGTCATTAGTATTCGTACATTGAATTGTTCGGACGACCCGGGGGCTCCCCCAGGCTGCATCAAGATGTTTTGCAGTGGCCATGTGCCACAAATGCACCACGCCCACGGTATGCAACCTATACATCACACGCACATCAATCTTCATCGCCTATACGAAGAATACCCTTGCCCCCGGTCGACGCAGCATCCATCCACAAGAATCAAACATGTCGCAGCTTGCGGCCCGGTGCAGGGCCAGCACGGGTGCACATATCGGAAATTCCAGCCGGAGAAATGTCAGGGTCATGGCGGTACAAGGCAGGACTCCGGCAGCGGAGTGCTGGGAGTGCACACGCAGGGATCTGGGCCTCCTGGGTCTGGCAGCGGCCGTGGTAGCCCCATTGGCTGTGCCGGACCAAGTCGAAGCCGCGGGGTAGGCGTTGTGATGGCCCCGCCCGCGCATGTTCGCTTGTGGTGGCCGCCGGCGCAATCGAACCTGGTGCTCCTGCTGGTGTGGCGCACACAGACATGTCTGGGCATCGATGCAACGGCTGCCGGTCAGAGCTGGCAGGGCGTTGCGTTTCTTGAGGCTCGGTGACATCGTGATTGCAGGTTCAAAAAGGAGCTGAAGAAGCGCAAGATACCCGCTGAGGACTTCACCCCGCATGGTGGCTGGTCTTTGCGCAGGGGGGGGAGGGGTTGGCATGGCGGCTGGGTACCACCAGCGCTCTGCGGCAAGCGGCCGTCGCTCGTCGCCCCAGCGATCAATGCCGCTGCTTCCTGTGCATTCACTGTTCCCCTGCCGCTCCTCCTGGCCCTTGTGCCCTCCATTCTTGCCCACTGGCGCCCTCGGCTGACCACTTCCCACCCGCACATCCCTCAACCGACCGCCCCAACAACCTACAGAGCCCAGCGGCCTGCGCGTGTATGATCTGGAGGAGGGGCGCGGCCGCGAGATCCAGGAGGGCGACAAGATCTCGGTGAGAGCATGACTCAACTCAACGTCAACAGGGGCCGGCTGATGAATGCGGAGGGCGCAGCGCCAGCTCAGCGGCAGCCCAGCCCTTCAACCAACCGCTGAACACGGGGCTTGTCCCGGAGAAGTCGGTGCGCCCTCTCCTCTTCGGCCGCGCACAGCAGCACGGCCACCTATCTTCGCTGACCTCCCTTGCCCAGGTCCACTTTGACTGCCTGTACCGCGGCATTGATGCGGTGTCCAGCCGCTATGCGCGGACACTGGGCGGCAACCGCACCGTGGCAGAGGTGCGGCGGGGGCGGCCAAGGATATGAGCAAGGGGGGCTGAAAGCAGGGGGTTGTGGGGATGGTGTGCCGGGGGAGGGCGGCGCCGCCTGCCGTGCCTGGGCTGCTGAATGGCTGGCTCTTCTGGCGAGCCAGACCCCTATGCGGCATGTGGCGGCCCTATTCCTTGGGGCTGTGCGAGCCTTGTCCCGGGTGGCCGCCCAGCTGCGTGCTCGATGCCACAGCATTGCCGTCAGACCCATTAACGCGCAGTCCGCGCCGCCCCTCCGCCGCAGCCCCTGGAATTTGTTGTCGGCGAGTTTGTGACGGGCTCAACCATGAAGCCTGTCGGGGACAGCGGGGGCGGCGGCCTGTTCTCGGGGGCGTCGGGCCCCAAGCCGCCGCAGGCCATCTCAAAGGCGGTGGTGGGCATGAAGGTTGGCGGCAAGGTGGGTGCGGGGTGCAGGGTGTTGGGCTGGAGTTCACGGGCTGGGGCCACGGGCAAAGGAGGGCTGAACTGCCCGCCGCCTGCCGCGTGAGTGAGCCAGGGACCACGCCATTGTCTTGCCGTATGGCACGCTGGCGGCGCAAGCGCCGCAGTCGCCCCTCCCCCCACAAAGCCATCCATCCTGCACGGCCGCAGCCCGGCCTTCTGGTCTCCCCTCGCCCTTCCACGCACTCCTCTCCCCTCCCCCACTGCTTCCCTGCTCCTCGGCCCTACTCCTCGTGCCCCTTCCCCCTCCCCCCAAACCACCAGCGCCTGGTGCTGGTGGATGTCCCGGCACTGGGCTACCCCCAGGGCAACCAGGAGATCCCCGCGGGGGAGCCCTTTGAGCTGCGGATCGAGGTGCTGGGGACAATCGGCTGATCAGGCGCGCCGCCCATGCCTGCGATTGATAACAACAGCAGCCGCCCCGGTTTCGACATCTGACCCAAGACCGCGGGTCTGCGTCTGGCGCGGCCGCCAGGCCTGTCTCGAGCGGCTGCATTCTTCGTGTGTTTGTGGCGGCCACGCTCCCGCGTGCCATTTTTGCGGGCTGCCCCTTGGCGCTCCAGCGCCCTTTTGCAGAGCACCCTTCAACGCTGTGTCATAAGCTTGAGTCTGCAAAACCACCGGACACAACCCGACTTGTAACACAACCGTCGACGACGCGCGTTGCAGCCCTGCCGCAGCAAGGGCTGGCAGGTGTGGAAAGTCACCGAAACCCGGGTTGCCAGGGTCAGTGTGGCGATGGCCTGCAATCACACAGCCGAGAAGCAGCCTGCGACGCCAGCAGCTGCCGTGCGCGCCGCATGGATCGTATGGCAGCAGTCACGATGAACGCACACATTCGTTAACAACATTCCTGCAGACTACTCCCCACCCGGCTCCTGCTCCTGCTCCTGCTGCTGCTGCTGCTGCTCCTGCACCCCCTCCGCTGCCGCCGCCGCCGCCGCCGTACCTTCGCCATCTGCCTCCTGCTGCTGCTGCTGCTGCTGCTGCTCCTCGCCTGCCGCCCTCGCCGCCGCAGCAGCAGCCGCAGCAGCCGCCGCCGCCTCCACCACCGACCGCGGCGGGCTCCCCGGCGGCGGCCGCGGCGGCGGCACGGCCGCGGCGCGCGCGGCCGCCGCC